TGTGAGAAACTGCTTCAGAGTTTTTCCTCTACAAAAAATGTCTACAGTAAGATCTATGAAACAAATAAAGGCACTACAACCCTCTTTATATTTGTAATGTTCATCTTCAAAATAAATACTCTTCACTGTAGAAGTTTGTATTTTCTTTTCTTTTCTTTTCTTTTTTTAATTGATGTTGTCTTGCTCTGTGGCCCAGGCTAGAGTGCAGTGGTGTAATCTCAGCTCACTGCAACCTCTCCCTCCCTGAGTTCAAGTGATTCTCCTGCCTCAGCCTCTTGAGTAGGTAAGATTACATGCATCACAACCATGCCCGGCTAATTGTTATATTTTTAGTAGAGATGGGGTTTCAGCATCTTGGATAGGCTGGTCTCAAACTCCTGACCTCGTGATCCACCTGCCTTGGCCTACCAAAGTGTTGGGATTACAGGCCTGAGCCACCATGCCTAGTCAAAAGCTTGTATTTTCTGAAAGATCTTTTGACAGTAATTGTACATATAATGATTTTATTAAGTATGAACTCTCTAGTGTTAAGACATGAACATATATTAATGACTTTTTCAGTCTTTATGTTTGTATAATTTATCTCAAGTATAAATGCTTTCCTGTGCAATAAGGTGTGAGCATTGGTTAAGTTTTGCCACATTGTTCACACATGTAGGTGTTTTCTCTAGTATGAATTATCTTACCTACAATCAAATGTGACAACCATTTAAAGGCTTTGTCTCATTCTTCAGATTTCTAAGATTTCTCACCAGCATAATTTCTTTTATGGTTAGAAAAGTTTGAGGTGTTGTCAAAAGCATTGTCACATCTTTCTTGTTTGTAGAATTTCTTTCCAGTATAAATTATCTTATGTCTGTTAAGAATTGAAAGCTTGTTGAAGGCTTTGCCATGTTTTTCACCCTCATAGGGTTTCTGTACAGTATGAATTTTTTTAATGCTTAGTAAGAGTTTGAGGACTGGTTAAAAGCTTTGCTACATTCTTCACATTTGTAGAGTTTCTCTCCAGTGTGAATTATTTTCTTCAATAAGATTCAAGGACTGGTTGAAAGCATTGCGATATTCTTCACAGTTATGAGGTTTCTTTCCAGGATGAATTTTCCTTTTTTTTTTTTTTGTGCGACAGAGTCTTGCCTTGTGGCCCAGGCTGGAGTAGAATGGCACGATCTTGGCTCACTGCAAACTGTGCCTCCTGGGTTCAAATGATTCTCCTGCTTCTGCCTCCTGAGTAGCTGGGATTACAGGTGCCCACCACCACACCCAGCAAATTTTTGTATTTTTAGTAGAGACAGGGTTTCACCATGTGCCAGGCTGGTCTCAAACTCCTGACCTTGCGATCTGCTCGCCTCGTCCTCTCAATGTGCTGGGATTACAGGCGTGAGCCACCATGTCCTGCTGAATTTTCTTATGTTTAGTAAGAGTTGAGGACTGGTTAAAGGTTTTACCACATTCTCCACGTTTGTAAGATTTCTTTCCAGTATGAATTATGTTATGTTTAGCAAGGTTTGAGGATCGGTTAAAAGTTTTGCCACATTCTTCACATTTGTAGGGTCTCTCTCCAGTATGAATTCTCTTATGTGTAGTAAGGTTTGAGGATCGGTTAAAAGCTTTGCCACATTCTTCACATTTGTGGAGTTTCTCTCCAGTATGAATTATCTTATGTTTCCTAAGGTTTGAGGATTGGTTAAAAGCTTTGCCACATTCTTCACATTTGTAAGGTTTCTCTCCAGTATGAATTATCTTATGTGTAGTAAGGTGTGAGGAATGGCAGAAGGCTTTGCCACATTCTTCACATCTGTAGGGTTTCTCTCCAGTATGAATCATCTTATGTGTAGTAAGGGTTGAAGAGTGCTTAAAAGCTTTGCCACATTCTTTACATTTGAAGGGTTTCTCTCCAGTATGAATTCTCTTGTGTCTAGTAAGGGTTGAGAACCGCGTAAAGACTTTGTCACATTCTTCGCATCGGTAAGAATTCTCTCTAATATGAATTCTTTTATGTTGACTTAGGTGTAAAAGCATGCAAAACGATTTGCCACATTTTTTACATTTGAAAGGTTTCTTTCCAGTATGTCTTGTCTTATGTCTATTTGAATTTAAATTTTCATGAAAGACTTTTATATATTTATCACATTGAAATATTTTGCTCTGGGTAGTTGTCAAACACTGGTTTAGTTCATTATAACCTTCTTTGTGCACCTTACACTCATCCACACTTGCGGAGCCTTTTCTTAATTGTAAATTCTCATGTTCACATTTTCCGTATCTTCTCAGTATCACTTGTTGGAAAGAATCTTTTATGTCTTGCTCTGGCCAAAGGTCTTTGGTAAAATAAGAACACATAGCTGCAAGAAATAAATACAACAAATTATTCAATTTACTAGACTCTGATAAACACACTTTACAAATCTAACCTTTATTATACAAACTACATAAGCAAGATGCCATAATAAAATACCACAGGCCCTAAATCCTTCATAGACATATAAATATAATAAAAACATACTGACCAAAATACATGAGGAAAACTTATAAATAACTGTGTAAATTTCCCCAGGTGAGTACACAGGTGAGTACACAAGAATGCAAAGATACAGAAGAAAAAGAAAAGTCTGTTACATTTACCCAACACAGTTCTTCCTACTCCCCAATATAACATAGTGCCTTTCCACGTAAATTGCTAACTTTTGGTTTCTTTTTTAGTAAACAAATACAATACTGGCACATATATCTACATTACTTGCTACTAGAGGCCTTTCCAGAAACTGGTCTCCCATAACATAAAGTGCTGAAAAAAATGGTGGTATATTTTGGAATTACAGTTTGGGTCTGCTGAGACCAACAGTACATGTTACAGCAGCAGAGAGACTGCAGTACAACAGACAGAAAACAGATATAGCAAATGGTTACTGATTAAGATGAAGCAGAAATAAACTCCTTTAACTAAAATGTAAACACAAAATTTTAGACAAGATACATTCTAAGAACATGTTTGAGAATCTCCCAGGATCCGAGATAATTGTTTTCAGACTATGCCAGGAGAAAGCTACATGATAAAAATTGTGTCAGGTAGCTTTATTTAATGCCCGAATTTTAATCAAAGATTACAATGAATACAAAATAGGGCAAAATGGTTCTATCAAAAATATAAAATTGTCAGAAAGAAACCAAAAAAAAAGTATATACTAATTTTAAAAATTAAAAATAAACTGAATACTCAATGAGTAAATTAGGAATACAGAGAACTACAGAAAATCAGAAAAAACTGAAGATAAGAAAAAAATATTCAAAATATGCAAAAAAACAAATTATAAAAGGTAAAAAATATCAAAAGAAAATATAACTCAAAAATTCTGAAAGAAAAAATAATGTCAAAATGAAGAAGCTCAACAAACAATTAGGATACATACAAAGATATTTATAACAAACACATATATAAGCACAATTTCAAAAGCCACAGACAAGAAGAGAATGGAGCTGCAAGATAAAAATGGTGTGCCATTTACAAGCATAGTCTTAAAAGATAGTCAGTCAACTGTCAACAAAACCTTTGCAGGCTAGAAGGAAACTGTGTGATATAGTCAAAGTCCTAAAAAAAAATAGCTATCAAGTCAGAATAATAACAGTCCTGCCAAATAAAAAGAAAAAAACCTTCAAAAACAACCAAATTCTGAAAAAATATATTGGCACTTCATATGCCCTAAACATAAAAGATGCGGAAAGCAGTTGCTTCTACTGAAAATAATATGATTAAACAGAATAATTTTATAAATAATTATATCATATACATTATTTTCTGGGGAAAAAAACGCACATACACAAAAATGGAATTTCTTAGCATTAAAATAATATGGCACAAAAACATTTTTAATTATTCTCTAAAATTTGAAAGGTAAAAGAACAGAAATAATTATAAACATTTGTTAATGAATATACAACAAAACATATGATTAGCAACATCAATGACAAATTTGAGGGCATGAGAAAAAATTTATGAATCCAGCTGAAGTTCATTTTTTACCAGATTAAAATACACTGTTGTAGTTTTTAGAGGTTTTATGTAATTCCCAATACACCATCAAGAATATATCTGTATAGATACACAAAACAAACAAGAAAGAAGTAAAAGCATATCAAGATAAGTATAAAAAAGACACAAAGAAAAAGAGAAAATGAGGAACAAAGATACAAGAATCAAATAAAACAATAAAATAACATTACTAAGTCTTCATAAGCGGAGAAAAATAAAATTCTTTTCAGAGAAGCAAATGCTGAAGGAATACATGACCACCAGGCCTGCCTTACTAGATAGAGCTGTGAAAGAAGGAATAAATATGGAAAGAGAAAAACCATTACCAGCCACTGCAAAAACACAGTGAAGTATAAAGATGAACGATGCTATAAAACAACTACATCAATGACTCTGCAAAATAAGCAGCTAGCACCACTTGGATAGAATCAAAATCACAAAAAACAATATTAGCCTTAAATGTAATAGGTTGAATGCCTCAATTGAAAGACACAGAAGGGCAAGCTGGATCGAGTCATGACCCATTTGTGTGCTGTATTCAAGAGACCTATTTCACATAAAAAGACAAGTGTAGGCTCAAAGTAAAGGAATGGAGGAAAATTGACAAAGCACATAAAAGCAGAAAAAAAAGCAGGGGTTGCAATCATAGTTCCTTTTTTATTTTTGAGACGGTGCCTCACTCTGTTGCCCAGTTGGAGTGCAGTGGTGTGATCTCAGCTCACTGCAAGTTCCGCCTCCTGGGTTCATACCATTCTCCTGCCTCAGCCTCCCGAGTAGCTGGGACTACAGGCGCCCGCCACCACTCTCAGGTAATTTTTTGTATTTTTAGTAGAGACAGGGTTTCACTGTGTTAGCCAGGATTGTCTCGATCTCCTGACCTCACGATCTGCCTGCCTTGGCCTCCCAAAGTGCTGGGATTACAGGCGTGAGCCACCACGCCCGGCCTGCAATCATAGTTTCTGACAAAACAAACTTTAAATCAACAAAGGTCAAAAAAGACAAAGAAGTGCATTACATAATAGTAAAGAGATCAATTCAAGGAGCACCCGGATTCATAAAACACATTCTTAGAGAACTATAAAGAGACTTAGACTTCCATATAATAATAGTGAGAGACTTTAATGCCCCTCTGTTAATATTAGACAGATCATTGAGACAGAAAAGTAATAAGGCTTGAACTCAGCCACAAACAACACAATGCACATTCTTCTAAGTTCCACATGGCACTTACTCTAAAATTGATCACATGGCTGGGCATGGTGGCTCACCTTGTAATCCTAGCACTTTCGGAGGCCAAGGTGGGTGGATTGCCTGAGCTCAGGAGTTCAAGTCCAGCCTGGGGAACAGGGTGAAACCCCATCTCTACTAAAAAAACAAAAAATTAGCCAGGCGTGGCAGCATGCGCCTGTAATCCCAGCTACTCAAGAGGCTGAGACAGGAGAATGGCTTGAACCCGGGAGGTGGAGGTTGCAGTGAGCTGAGATCGTGCTATCACACTCCAGCCTGGGCAACAGAGT